AAGCAGCAGCTTGAGAAAGTTAATCTAAGAGAAACATCAGTCTTGGACCAGAGGAGAGTACCAAGGGAAGACAAAGGGAAAAAAACAGCAAAATTAACCAAAAAAAGCCTGGAAGACTCATTGAAGATAGACCAAGTACAAAAAATGGACATAAATCAGATCTACAAAATGGTTTTAGAGGACATGAAAGATGACAGCATGTTTAGAGATATAGCAGGGAATGAAAAAAGAGGAACCAGAGAGGGAATTACCTAGAAAGATGAAAAAAGGGAAAACAAGGAAGGGCCCCTTAATATTGGAAACATGTTTATATTTATCATTTGGATCTGTAAAAGGGTATATTCTATATATTAAAAGGAGAACTAAATTGAAATAAGGGAGCCCGAATCAGGGTAAAGATGTAATATGGTGACTTAGGCAGATTAAACTAGATATAAAGCTGGGTCATGGATCTGGAACCACTTTCAATAAGAATGTTATTAGAAGATCTTGAGAACTTTATATGAGAGTAATATTATGATAGTAGCTATACTATATACTAAAATCTGTATATGAATGGTTTGAAAGAAGGTCGGAATTTGGGGGGGATAATCGAGAAGACACTGAGATGTAAAAAACAAATAATTGTAAGCAAGTATGTAACACGATGTCTGATAAGCACAAACAATGTAGATAGATTGGAAAATTAATAAAAAAATGTTTTTTTTAAAAAAGAAATATGTCCGGATCCCTCGCTGGGTGCTTTTAAGAGCAAACTTAAGACCTGGCTCTTGTGGCAGGCCTTCCCTCCCATCATCATCTAATCTATTTCTTGCTGTCTTCAATTATATTAATATTGTTGTTTTATTTTATATTGTTATTATTTTATGGATTGTTACTGTATTAGCCACTCAGAGTAGACTTCGGTCTAGATGGGCGGGGCATAAACAAACAAACAAACAAACAAAAACCAAAACTCCCGCAATGCCACCTTAAGTCGTCATGCTAATTTTCCCATGCTTTGTTGTAAAGCAGCCTTTCCAAGCTTTCCTCAGAAGCACAGGACTATAACTGTCATCATCACCAACCCCTAAACATGTTGTCATGAACAATACAGAAATGTTAGCTGTTCTCAAAATTAGTGACTGGACTACTACTAAATAGTTTTGAAGCCAGACTTGTTATAATAATTTTACAATGACCTTACAATGATCCTAGAACTGCAGAGTTGGAAG